ATTAATCCGACTTGATCTTTTGTCTTTGCATTTGAGAATGATACAACCATTTTTTCTGTGTATATCATCTTAAGAATCACTACAAGCATTCTTCAAAATCACTACAAGCATTTTTCCATACCGCAAAGACTTTCTTTACCACCCAATCGACATTAGCTTTTACCGTACCACGATTAGGAGTTTAGTCCCTTCACTTTTCTTTGGGGTCTTGACATTCATATTTATGGATCTCAAAGTCTCCCATAAAGTGTGATGGCTTTCCACCCTTATGAAGAGGTCATTTACATTTGTTGGTCTGTTAGACTTTCCCTACTTTTAACACCCTAAATATTTTTGACTATTTTTTGAAAACTTTTAGTCAAATAAGTAATCTCCTCTTCATCTTCAAAAGAATTATTTTGAGATACCTTTTGCATTATTGACTTCTCCTTCTTTCTTTATGCATTGTACTATCTTTTGACTTGGGAACCTCTTGAGTTAGATCTCCCTCCTTCACTTCCATGGTAGAAGCGTAAGGACCCTCAAGACTTAGTTGAGCTGCCATTCCTTGAATATATCTCTCACTTGGTGTTAGCTAGATAGAAAGAAGCTCTCTATACCAATTTATAGAATGCATGCGTCCACTATTAGTCAATGTACCAGGTCACTAGACACAGCAAGAACAATACGAACAATAAACAGAAAGGACAACACAACACAAGCATTATATTTGGAAACATCCTTGATGAAGGGAGTGAAACCATGACTTATTGATTATGATTTCAACCCTCTTCACTAATATACTCAAGCAAAATTGAAACCCGATTACAACCAATGTGAGAAAAAGTCATTAATTTCACGACCAAGTATAACTCTATTACTTGAAAAGCCTAAGCGGATACAACAACGACCACTCAGCTATCACCCCTACATAACTTAGACTTTTGTAAGCGAATAGCACACCACCGACTAAACCACCACGCTCCAGATGATTTATAATTTGACTAAGCAGATACAACACTTCCCACTAAACCATCCCACCTAGATAACTTCAAATTTTTACTGAGCAACAAAACAATTTTGCCTACTAAATAAGTTAACCCTAATTAATTTAGACTTTGACAAACCTGAATCCTTTATAGACAAGGAACAAATTTACAGTACATGCATGGAAGTATAACTCTGATGCTTGCAACTTGATCAGGTCTTTGTTGTGCTTTCCAGAGAATACTTCTTGAAAGTGAGTCTTTGCTTGTGTTCTTGAGAATTTGCAAGTTGCAAAACCTTATAAAATTATAGATACAACTCAAACTCAACACAAACGCTTCAACACTCTATTAGGTCCTGTGTTGAAAATGAGTAGTATTTTTCCTTGAAGATCGCCTGCCTTTTAAGCTCATGAATTTTCAGAGAAAGTCCAAGTTTAGTTTGCCAAATCTTAAGTTTGTGTATTTTGGAAAGACATGATATAAAAAAATACAAACCCGTGGAGACAACCCTATTGGCTGAAATTGTGTTGTTCGAAAAAGTTTCTCACCTACCACATCAAAGGTGGCAATTTTTTTGACAACTGTTTTGTCACCTTTTCATATCGAAGTTTTACAGGGACTAGGTCCCTTGCAAACTTATTTATGAGTTCTTGAAAATGTTTGATTCTAATTTCCTTCTTTGGATGAATTTATTTGATGTTTGTCATGTTGGCTAAATAAACCATAAAGATACAATTACCATTGGACTATCAACTAGGTCCATTCTTATTGGTGTAGTTCATTAACGCTTCAACAACTTTCTGGCATGGACAAATTTTACAGGTGTGCTACATTGTGCACATGATTGAGAAAACTCTAAGAGTGACCCTGTCCCTACATTTGTGAAATGCTGAAACATGCAATCTTGTCGGTTTTTAATATCGGTATAAGATATTACAATTTTCACCTACCTCCTGACATGATAGCTTTACATTTGTACCCATTTGTATCTTGACAATAACAGTCTGCTAGGGACAAGGTCCTTGCATTTGTTAGGATCATCAAAACACCTAGAATATAACAGCACGTAACAGATTTATAATTCCTAGTAAATAGTTCTTCAATTTTCTTCATTCCCTCAAGTTGGGATCTAAGCAGTTGAGCATCATAAAAACCTTTGGATAACCAATAACTTGGAACCATTTTAAACTTACAATTTTGATGGGTGTCTTCTAACTGACTTCAGGGAAATTTATAATTTAAAGGTTCTCAAGTGTAGGAAACTCTCCACTTCCTAGTAGGTGCCATTGCTTCCACTCAAAAATATCTTCAAATCTAAGCTCCACTCGAGAGTTAAAAGGATTTCTGGAGGAAAAACTACCATATAATTCTTATGTCATCTCTCTTATTCCGTGCATCCGTCTAGTCAAAAGGAATTTTAAAAAGGGGAGTTGTCCTAGTATTTGCAAGGAATAACAGTCTTTGCAATAGATAAGAGACAATTTCACTAGTTTAAGAAACAAAGGATCAGCTAGCCAATTGGTGAAGCTTGTCCCTCAGTATCTAGTGATTTCGACTTCTTTTAGGTTTTTATGTGGGCGTTGCTCATCAAGTATTTCTCTTTCAGTTGTGAATTTCAATACTACTATTTCAATATACTCCAATGATAACTTGTCAACATGGTCCTTCTCCCTCATATTTTCCTTCACAATTTGCCTTCAATCAACCACATTTTGCAATTCCACAACCAATACATATCCATACAAGTTCTGTGCTTCATCCAAATCATCCATCCTCAAACCACATAGAAGAAACTTGGATCCAACTAGAACTTGGAGGCTTTTAAACTTTGTTGGATGTAGCGGCACCTTAAATCAACAAATGTTTCTTATGTTAAGATGCCACAAGTTAATCAACCCCTCCATATGTAGCGGCTGTATATCCTTAATATAATAACAAGATGACAAGAAAAATGTCTCCAAGTTATACAGTCCACAAACTGAATAAGGCAACTTTATAATCTCTGTCCAAGAAAGGTCCAAAAAGCTGAGGAGCTTTAATTTGATAAACAAGTAATTTAGAAACTCCTTAATCCTATATCCTCACAATGATAATGCCCTTAAGGATTTTATCTTCCTAGTATGTTATGCAACATCCTCTTGCTTAGCTTTATGTTGTAATAATAGTGTTGGCTATTGATTGCAACTAATGTCCTCAACTGCTCTGATTTAAAGAGTAATTTTAATTTCTCAATGTCACCATATTTTTATATTGAATAGGACATGTGCCGACATTGTTCCAATATATATGATCCTTTGCTCTCTTCCAACCTCATCCAAAGACTTGAAGATGCAATTTCGGACAAATCATTGACAAGGTAATGCATTAAGAATTTATCTATGTCTATTTCAGAAGACTCCGAGACCATTTCAAAAAGTGATATTGATTTCAACTTGAGAAAGTATCGGTTACCTTAATGCAACTGTAGTACAATACAATTATCAATCCAAAGGTGAATAACTTGGTCTTTGCAAAATGGATAATCTTTGGGATATATTGCACACTAAAAAATCATTGCTTCAAGTGTGTAGGAAGATCATTGTAGCTTAAGATAAACTCTGGAAATATACCATTCGAACAACTTGTAAGCTCCCATATTTTAATTCTTAAAATGTATCTCCAGTTATCCACCTCTGATTTGAAGCATAAAACATTGGCAAGTGCCTTTAGAGCTAAACAGAACCCTTCACACTTTTCTGCAATTTCTTTTCCAATGTCATCAAGTTCTGGATGTTCTTTAGTATCCCTGCTTTCTAGTGAATGTCGTCTGAATAGATCCCAAGAGGCATCATCAGACAGAGTCCCCACCTTGATTACCTCACTACCCATAATCAAGGTAACACTCTCTTTAAGTGTTATCACAATGATCTTACTTCCTACATCTCCTTGTACAAAAATATTTCTCAAGTCATTTCACACATAATCCAGAACAATAAGAAACTTTTTCTTCTTTAAGTTTTTCGTCAATTTTAGTTGTAGCTAATTAAGATTGCCATCAACCTTCAAGTTAGTTGATCCATCTCTTGAAGCAAACCTTTTGTTATTATGAAAACATCATATGCCTCAGAAACACAAAACCAAGCTTTTGGACCAAAATGTTTATGCACTCTCTCATCATTGTAAAGCGCTTTACCAAGTGACGCCACCCATTCAAAAAATAGGAACTACAACCATATTTTTTCAATTTGCATCTTCAAAAAATAACCAGATAAACAAATAATTTATTTCATTCTACACTACACCATTTTATGTCTACAACCACACTTATTCTGTACTACACTTGTTTAGTGTTGCCTAAAGTAGTTTTGGGAATGCTTTTAAGGCGTAGCTGAAATTTTTAACTTTTAGCTACGATAATTTTGGCAACACTTCAAAGTGTACTCTTTAATGGTATAATATAAGCTTTATAAGTGTTGTTAAAATATCAAATAAATGGCTACAACTATTTACATGTATGGCCACACTTTTTAAGTGTCCTTTGTTTGTAAAAACAACACATTAAAAGTGTGGCCTTAAAGTTTTCACTAAAATATAGTATTCCCTCCATCATTTTAAACTCTACCTCTCATTTTTATTGGCCAAAAAAAACTAATTAATAATTTATAAAACCTTTTTCTTCTCAAGGTTCTAGAACACGCTTTACTCTTTCTCTAGAAGACATTATACTCTTTCTCTAGCTTTACTCTTTCTCTAGAAGACATTGTACTCTTTCTCTAGAAGAACAAATCGAAGAGCTCAGCTGATGATGGAAGAGTTAAACTCAAGATCAAAGAGTTGTGTTGAAGATTACTTCTATACCCGATTCTCTTCCCCAGAAAAAGATTTTTTTGAAGAGTTGAAGATAAAATGATATAGATCGAAGAACATAAGAGGGAAAGCCGAAGAACATAAGAGCTAAGCTAAACTTCTAATAAGAATTTCGTCGAGGGTAAGTATGATTCTGTCAAGATTAAGAATCACATACCAATATTCTTTCATATTATCTACTAATAATCTGGTATTAAAAACAATGTTATTGTCAATTGATTGAATTATTATTTTTGTTTAAAAGGAATCGATCACTTTGGGGTTTTACATCTTAAATTCCAAAGTAGGGAAGAAAGTCTCGAAAATAATGGACGTCAAACTGAGCCCTAGGCATATTTAGCAAACGATAAAGAGGAAATTACTACTCAAAAGCATTTGAATAAGTTATCAACACAGCTGTAAGTCGGTTTGATAAAAAATCAATTGGTTTGAAAGTATATGTAAAATTTTAACTCTCTTTTGATGTACAAAAATTCAGTTTTGAAGGTGAAGTTTCTGAGCTCCATTGATGTTTCCCACTGTCAATATAAATTACTACTCCCTTTTTCTTTCAGGGACAGAACTATCTGAATTTTTTTTATTTATCAGCTAAGAGTTTCTATTTTTTATGTCTAGGTTTATTGTGTTGGCTAAGATGTTTCACTTGTGGGTTTCGATTTTCTTATCTATTGATGTTTTTTGTATTGATTTCGGTTTTCCTAGATTATAGTAGTATTACGCAGCAGATGGTTCTTCATGGTGGCCAATAGCCATTATTTAATTATGTGATTTCTGTTTTTTCCTAAGATTGATAAGCTAATTTTGGCTGAGATCGGTCATGACCAGGTAGGTTATGTTGTCCTCATTTAGTATTCACTAATTTATCTTTTCTGACATTTTTTTAAAAAGTATGTTACTGCTGCTGTTCCTTGACTAGTTTATGAAAACTGTGCATCTTAAATTGATAAGTCTTGGAAGCTTCTTCAGTAGTGTAAAATATTTGAAAAAGATTGGAAGTACATTTATTTGTACTAGGCTTACTCCCATTGCCATTGAGAAGTACCCCTGACAATACTATTAAAATCATGAATTTTCTTGCTAGTTTTTCTATTATACACTATGATTAATGATGGTGAGGAGTTTCATTACTCTGAGGGTTGAGTCGATTAAAATGTGGATATGATGGATGCGTTTGATGTTAAATTTATTTCAAGTGAGGTGATTTTACTTTTTGGTATGACTTAAAATCTAGTATCAAGATATGATAGATTTTGCTCCTATTTTTTTTTTGGTGAGGCAAGATACTCAAGGTATGAGCTTTTTCGATAAGAAGTACTTTTATTGTTATCATTTATTAAGTTCAGACTTTATTTCCTTTTAGCCACATGTAAAATTCTAAATTTGTTTACCAAAAGTACACTTCAAAATTATTATGTAGTTTTATATTTCATGAAGTTTTAAGAATTCTATGTAATTTCCTTTGTGTTTTCTTACATAGAAGCATTGACATAAAGGTGATTTTAGCTATTGGAGATTACATTAACATACAGGCACATGCATGCATTGGAGGCAACAACGTGGGTGAAGATATTAGAAAGCTAGAGCATGGAGTATAAGTAGTCTCTGGAACTCCCAAAAGAGTCTGTGACATGATTAAAAGGAGAAATTTACAACTATGGCCATAAAATAATTGATTCTTGTAAGTTTATGGCTTTTTACATTCATATTTATCTTTCTTGTTCAATCTTTTTTCAGCTGATTGCTATTCCATTTAAATATTTCATATCTTACTTTACTTTTGATTTTTTAGGATGAATGTGACGAGATGTTGACCCGCAGTTCTAAAGATAAGATATCTTCCACCGGAGCTTCAGGTGAGTTGTCGGTTACCCTAAATGCATAAAAAATCTTATATTCTAGCTTACTAGATGATTATTTGTACAAGGAGTTACTGTTCAAAATGATTGAGTTATATCACAAATCTTCACCTAGAACTTGTTCATAAGCTATTAAATATTGGTACGCGGCTACCCACCAGTGAAACACATACATTGTGCAACTCGTCATTGATCCAGAAATGATCACACTTTGTTGGTAATGTTGCTCGAATTGCCATGCTTCTGCTGCACGCGGCCTATTATGAAGCATACAAAGTCTATATAAATTCTATGTTTGGATTTGCTTTTTTTTTGTTTTTAATTGTGTGATAAAGTAGTTTAGACATTCTAGATTCCAGTTTCCTTTGCATGTTTTGTAATTTTTTTGAGGTATAACCGGGAAATGATATTATCTTATTGTTTTTCTTTCTTAGGATAGAGTCCTCTTTGGTGTTTTTTATGTATAAATTCTTGTTTTATAGAGGAAAAGAGATTGTATGTGACCTTCCCACCAACTACAAAATTTAACTTAATTTTTTTATTAGACTCTCCTCCTATAGTTTTAAGTACTAGACACATGTCTGTTCCCTCTCTTTTTGTGTCACTCTCTCTTTACACAATTGTATAAACGTTTAACATATAGAATCATATATTGACTATCAAGGTTGTACTAATTTATGCCACTCTTCTAAATGAAATTCTATGTTTTATAATTTGCCTTCTGGAAAATAGTGTTTTGTTCCCTCCATTCAGTGCCCCCAAACACATACAATCCATATCCTAACTGATTACATCTGCTAAAAGGAAACTGTCGAGGAAAAAGTAGCTCGACAAAATGTTACGACGATCACACTTCTTGATGTTGGTACTAAAAAAAGCAAGTTGATAAAAAGTTATTTCATTAGTCCTATTTTAGAAAGAAAGAATGTATTTTCTAACTACTAAGATATAAATTTATAATTCTTTATAACTCTTCTTTTCAATATAATTCTTAAGGTATATTGTTTATATCATTGTAGGATGTTTTAACATACTTGAGAAGAGATTTTCTCAATGGTTCCTCAACAACTTCCATTGAGATTGTAAGACCTCTTCGGACAACCATATTTTCAAATGTTCATAGCCGAATCAGCACAAAGAGAAACAAATAAAATAGCATCAGCTCGTAAGGAATTCTCCTTTTATTTCAAAATTGTTCTCTTGTGATGAATGATTTGTTTGTGTTTTACCATAGGTTTTCCTGTACAAGAGGGATTTCTGATTTTGTGAAGAAATTACACGGAATGCAGACTTGCATACTTGTGGAGTCCACAGTCTCATCCTAGATACTACATACTATGATTCCAGGTATTTAGATTGTTAATTCATTCTTGGCTTTGCAGTCAAATAACCTATCAAAAATTATATGCTTTGTGTATATTTTAGGTAGTAAACTCAATATATGGTTATATATTTTGAGTGGCATGCCCTGGCCATAGAACAAAACACTTTTAAGAAATTCTCTAATATGATTATGTCACATGAAATATTACCTAGATTGGCTATATGAATTCCTTATATCAACTCCCCCAAAAACAGAAGTCTGTATTGTTAACTTTTTTACCGTTAGTGGTGCCATTAGAAATTCATTACTTCTTAAAGAAGTCTAGCAGGAACAAGATAATTTTCTGAAAAATAGAGTTGTTCTGATTAGTTTACATTTAATTATACCCATAAGTTCATTACAATAATTTTTTATAGGAAACTTCTCATCCCCATTACATATGCTTAGTGATTTAATATAGGAATATTTCTGCTTTTCTAATTAGTTTAGTATTTCGGATGTCATACATATACTGCTTATTAGTTTAGTTTCGCTTCTTTTTTCTAAAAGAAATTATTACAAGTATTATGAAGTATCGACTTGCTAGTTAATATCCATCCAGAACCAACTCAAGTTACGACATTATTGTGCATCTTTTCCCAGCTAACTGTAGTGAGATCAAGAATGGTTGTTTTCAGCTTTTCATTTCAGTCAAAACTTATTTTTTGTTGAATATATACAAAGAGGAAGGAGGACATTACAGGTGCGTTTTAGAAACATGTTAATAGTGTGGTAGTAACAACATTCATAGACCTCAAGGTTGTGTGTCTCGGGGGAGGTTATCCGATACTTCCCTATAGTTTTGCTGGTAAAACTTGTTGAATTCTTGTCGTAGTGTATGCCTCTGGCTATATGCTATGATGGACATATTATTTTACTTGTCCTTTTTTGGAGAGAAATAAAGCTTGTGCTACTAATAGGGTGCAAACGGAGGTCGATGAACTTGTTCAAATGCTTCCCATAGGATAAATCAGTATAAAACTCCAGCAAAATTTACAAAATCTAAAGATATTCCCGCGCAGTTCTCTATACCAAGAACACCATTCCGAGTGGTAAATACCCTAAATGTATTCTGACTTTTACGTGTGGTTGCTATTTTACTTTTCACTATGAAATGTATTCTGACTTTTACGTGTGGAGCTGTAAATTTACAATGATGATGACATCTCATTTTTGGGTAGTATTTCTTCAAGGCTAAATGTTTATAATTTAATAGAGTGAATTGAATTACAACTTGGTATGAGAAAATCAATGATGATGCAATATGTTTCTTCTTGAGTAAAAACAAGTTTTCACCTATTTTATTTTGTTAAAATTAAATATTTAGTTGAGTTTGTTACTGAAATCTGAGAACTTAGACCAGTATTAGGGATTGGAAATCCCTCGTGGATTTCTCATCTATTAAAGGAAGATCTAATCTATATTTGAACTAGTTTGTGTCCATCTTATCCCCCACAATATAAGCATATCTTGCTCGATCCAAGTAGAACATATTAACACCTAGTACTCACTTTAAGATGAAGATGTGAAAATTACTGTAAATGGAGAGAAACCATAGCTTGTCTCATGCCCAAATTGGAACTGCTATTTATGAATGTATATACAAAATGTTTACTACATTAGGTTGTTATAATTGTGTAATTTAGATGTTTACACTAGTTGCTTCATCCTGGCATTGTTCGCTTTCGTTCTCTCTAACATCATCTTATAATTGTGGCAGATGTTTTAAAGTTCACTTTCACTACTTTTGCTTAAATTCAATCAAATGTTTGTATGTTTCTCTTTTTGATACACTTAATATGAGTTTTAAATGGATTTTCTTTTGATGACTGCGAATAGTATAGGAAAAACTATGTCTTTCATAATCATTTTCTAGTTAACAATATTATTTGTAGTAATACATCTTACATGTGGTTTAATGTCATAGGGAATTAGAGCATGAATGAAGCAAGGAACTCAAATATATGGAGAGCCGTGTGACTGATGAAAACTTCTTGAACAATTTTGATTAATTTTATTTTGGTTTTGTGAAATTAATTACAAGTGTACATATTGTAATGTTGATTTTTAGTAATTGTATTCGAGACAATATACTTTTTATATATTCACATTATAAATTAGTCCTTATACTTGACTAATTAAGATAGTACTGTATAAGGGGACGATCAGAAATATGCAAAAAATAAAATTGTGGCAAATAGATATTTTAAAATCATATTTATAGCCTATAGGGAAAATACATAAAATCCCCCTTGAATTTAGCTAGAAAATTCACTTTAGCACTTTAACTTTACGAGTAATTATTTATCCCCCTAATCTCTTTCAAAGTTAATTAAATACACCCTAATATAATAATACCAATCTCATAGTGGCAAGTGCGTTCCGCACGCGCCATATCATTGATACGTCATTGCCACATTAGCGTCACATTATTGCCATATCAACATCCCATTCAATATATTTAAATTTTGATTTTTAATTCTTTTTTGTTTCTTTTTATTTATTTACAATTTTAGAAAGTAAAGACTATCTCAAAAAATAAGAATTAATATAAGAAAAATAATCTCAAAAAATCAATTGCAAGAGATTCAAAATCTCAAAACCATTCTCACAAGAACACTCAACTTTTAAGATACAAAATTAATACAAATAAATAATAACAACTAAAAATTTAATTTGAAATGAATTTTTTTTAGAGTTTCATTGAAAAGAGCTTCAAGTTCATCCATTCAAACCTTTCCATGAAGATAAAAATTAATTTGAAGCAAGAACAAATTGATATTTCCAATTTCTTCTTGATCATCACATTTATTGAGTTTATTGATATAAAATAAAGGAAATGAGAGTGGGATGAGACGTCTTGAAGAATGAGAAAAAAAACGAAAAGTATATCAAAGAAAGAAGAAGAAGAAAAATCTGAAGCACCGAGATTGGAAGACAAATAAAAATGGTAAGGGTGGGGGTTCGTTGGGGGTGGGGGTGTCAAAGAAGAAGAAAGGGGTAGTGCAACTTGTGGTTGAGGGCGGGAGGGGAGGATTGGGTGTGACGAAGATGAAAGGATGGGAGGTTAGGTTGGGGTAGGGGGTTGTATGGTATGTGGAAGATGAAAAAAAAAGATTACTGGATAAAATTAATGTAATTGGGGTCCACTTATTCTTTCTTTTCTTAATTTTTTATCTATACGCGCCTAATTTTTTTGACTTGCCATGTCAGCGATTTTGATGTATTTTAATTTACTTGAAAAGAGATTAGGAGGGTAAATAATTATCTGGAAAGTGAATGTGCTAAAGTGAATTTTTCTTCCAAGTTAAGGGGGGATTTTATCTATTTTCCCTAGCCTATATGACATTGCCACACTTTTAGAGTGTGGCCATTGAACTTTATCTGAGTGGCTTATTCATCTCAAATTCTACCATATAAAATAAAAAACACAACACTTGAAGTGTAGCTTTAGAGGAGGTAACAAATGCTATGTTTTGTAAGTGTGGCCTATAATAATAAAGGCCACACTTGAAAAATGTAGCTTGAGGTGATGAAAAGTGTTACAATATGATGTTCAAAAAGCGTAGCCTTTGTAACTTTTAGGCAACAATTTCGAAATGTAGCATTTAAAGAAACACTTAAAAAGTGTGGCCTTAGATCAGAGGTTACAGTTGCTTTGTCCACCCCCTATAAAGTGTTGCCTCAAGTTGAAAAGAGTGCCCTTAGATCAAAGGATACACTTTTTTATGGTTTAGAAAACACTTTTTAAGTGTGGCGAAAGACCTAAAATGGTGTAGTGCCTCCTGACAAAGATATTAAAATAATCAACCAAAGAAGTTGAAGTTCTTCTTGTTTGTTGTTTAGTTGAACCAAAATGATCGTTTAAGCCTAGGTGACCAATTTGCTTTTCCAACATCTCCATTGTCGAGAAGATCACCATGAGGAGCAAGCCTATCAAAGAGAACATTCAAAGCTGAAGAGAGAAATGCACCACCAACTGCTAGGCCAACCTCCATTTATCAAAACTGCAAAGCAAAATAATTTTGAGAAGATAAATGTTTGTATATTCAATTACTAACAACTTCACTTTACCTGTTGAATGCTAAGAGTAATTTGCAAACAAGAATAGTCCAACAATGGTTTTCTATAGTGACATAATACCAAACAACAAGACTTTGTCTATGCATATTTTTTTATACTTTAAAACATGTAAAGTTGGGAATTTGATAACATCAAGAGGATCTTTCCTTTATAAGAAAAGATATATATTTTTTCGAATTTAATCAGAGGTTCCGAGTTCTAATTGTTGTGATAAAGTTCCTCTTGATTGTGAGAGCTAAAACATCTCAAGAAATCTCCTTTTTTTGAAAAATTATTTGTATTTGTTATTTACAAAATAAACCAATAAATGCATGTCTTATGTTCAATTGGGAGGATTGCCTCAAGCTATAAGTTATTTGGTAGGTTTGAATAAATGGATGGTTTCAAATTGAGATAATTAAATTTTTGGCATAGTAGCACTAACCTGGAGTTTTGGTGAAGAATTAATTAATTACTCTAAGCTTATAATACGTACTAATGTGTATTAAGAATTGTTTAGTGTAATAAGAATTGTTTATATATTATTCGTATTTTAAAAAGGTGAAAAGACTTGACATATAGTTTAGTGTGGACCACATACCACCAAATTAACATATTTATATTGGAGATAGAACTTTCACCAACTAAGCAAAGAATGTATAGTTACAAAAATCTGATCAAGAGAAAATAATAATTAAAAACCGCTTTGAGACTGGGTAGATAATTGTTTGGATGTTAAATTATCTGAAAATGACCTCTTGTATTTTTCTTTTCTACTCTATAGAAATGTGAAGACCAGGAACAATCAATGGTGAAAAAAAGTAAATTTACCTTAATAAATACATCTTCTTCATAATTCTAGAATCAGCATTACATTCCACCAAGGATAAAAAGGTAAATTTGTGACTACATTTAGTGATATTGCAAGTAGAATTGACTAAAATTGCATCTACATGATAATTATTATACTGGTTACTTGAATCTCAAGTTTCATTGTGCTGAACAAAAATTGTAATGTTATCCATCAGCGGGACTGAAACTTCAAACCCAACAAAATTCTAATTCAAAATAATATGCCCTTCAAAATGCGATGTAGGACTAGACTAGTAGTTATTACATCTTCTCTTTTCCGATCATCCTGTTCACGTTGTGGATTACTACAAAGATCAGGCTGATTTTGATGTCCTTTTTGGAAAATGATAAAACCTAAGCTAAATTATGGTTGTATTGTATCAGTTGAGCAAAGATTCTTTACTTGTTGTACCCAAATTATTTTGAAAAGTTTTCACTTGATTCAGTCAATTGTCTTGTCGTAAATGTTGAGATGTACTAGTGAGGATATAACTAGTTAAAGTGTTGTGATGCTTGACTAATTTTTGCATCATTAATCTTGTTATTGCAGAGAAAGCAGCTGATACTATGTTGATTGTTGGTGGTGGTCCTACTGGTGTTGAACTTGCTACAGAAATAGCAGTCGATTTTCCTCTGAAGAAAGTAACTTCATTGCATAAAAGGTCCAAATTACGAGAGTTCATTGGACCAAAAGTGCCTAACAAGACTTTAGAATGGTTAAAGAAAAAGAATGTGGAAGTGAAACTGATGCAATCTTTCGATTTGAGTAATAACATGAAAACTCAGGTGGAAACTGAATGTATTTCAGTTCGTCTAGGGAAACTATCAGAGCGGGTTGCCATTTTATTTGCACGGAGAAGACACACCGAGTTCAAAGTGGTTAAGGGAGACGTATTAAAGGACCGAATCGATAATTTTGGAAGACTGAAGGTTGATGAAAATCTTAGAATCAATGGTCTGTAATAAACCGAAATCCTCACCATATTAATAAGAGCAATGGAACACGATTACAAACTTAAGATTATAATTGCAATAATAAAAATACTGAATACAATGGAAATATTGAAATAACGAGCGATTAAAGATAGAAGAAGAATGGAGATGAGAAGCTTAGATTCTAGACAAAGAGGAGAGGACAAACATTTTCTTCAATATGCATCAACCCTAAATCACTGATCACTACCCCTTCTATGAAACCATTCTCGCACAAACTACTCGACCCGAATCCCAAATAATCCTAAACATATTGCTTGTGCTCGGCTTAATAGCTCTTGTCATCCCAACCACTACTTCTGTGACCTTGGTATACACATGGGGTTTGACTTGGTTCATAATAGGGTCATAAAAACATATTTGTTTTTTGTAATATAACTGATATTGAGGTAAGCACTAAACTGCATATCCTTATTTTATTAAAAATGTATCTTTTGTTTAGTGAGGAAACTTGTATGTGTTCCAAAGAAAAGAAATTTGTCCATTATCCGTGGTCTAAAAAGGTCGTGAAAGCGCGTAAAATCTCTTGAATGGAAAAGAAATGTGACTCCAGTTCCTTCTTATCAGTAGTCACTCTTGTATTACCAATGGGGGCAATTGACAGTTGAATACAATCTTGACCATTATTTTCATATTAGTAATAGAGCGGTAAAAAGACCCATCTCCAAGTTGTTCAAACATATATTGAGTTTCTCGACCCTCCGATTTAGGATTGCCCTGTTCTACCCTTTGATTTTTCCCTTGACATGTAGGCATAGCTAGAAGAGTATCATTTGCCATTTAATGATTGCTTAATTGATCACATTTTATTTATGAAATGACTTGGATAGTTATTAGTATGAGTACCTCAACAAATAATGGGCTGCATCCTTAGAGCATATGTCAAACAACCTTTCTGTCTTCCGAGGTAGGGGAAAGGTCAGCGTATTACACTACCCTCCCTAAAATCCATATTTGGGGTTATATAGTATATGATTTTGCAAGAGGTAATGTCAGCGTACAATCTATTTAAACGGCATTTTGAATCTTTTTGATGATATTGGAGTAGCCAGAGGACTTGAAGCAACAAGTTATAATTTGAATTTTTGGATTCAAAATTATCTAATTAGATTTCCATCAAATGACTTCAAACTTTATAAAGACAATCTTTTTAGACGATTCCAACAAATATAAACATCACTTTAAATTTTTCTCTTACACACACACAGTGAAAAAGGATAGACACATTTTGAAATTCATATCCTCTTATTAGAGCTTATTCAATCATCGCGAGTTGTCTTTCTAATTTGATTTTCTGTACAAAGAGCTTACTAAATCAGTACACTAACTACTAGTTGAGTCCCAAACATATTTACAAATCGAGTTTGTTAACTTAAAAAGAGGCTTGCACAGGAAACATGAACTAGTATCAGCTATACAATGATTTTAGTCGCCTTTCTTTGATAGTCGCACGTGCCTATAGAAGAACACCTGTCACGACCCAAATCCGGGCCGCGACTGGCACCCACACTTACCCTCCTATGTGAGCGAACAAACCAATCTAAACCTTATCATTTCAATATAATATAACAGAAAGTAATGCGGAAGACTTAAACTCATTAAATAAAGACCAATTCATTAACTTCTAAAATTCAACATCTATTATTCCCCAAAATCTGGAAGTCATCATCACAAGAACATCTACTTTAAACTACTAATTCTAAGAGTTTCTAAGAAGCTAAAAATACATAAGAAGCTAGTCCATGCCGGAAGTTCAAGGCATCAAGACTTGAAGAAGAAGACCCAGTCCAAGCTAGAAGAATTAGCTCACCCTGAATATCCGATATGACGAAGACTAGCTAGAATCACTGCTGAGTTGAAGATGACGGAACGTTTGCTGCACTCCACAAATAACAAGAAGAAAACATAAAAGTAGGGGTCAGTACAAAACACGGGTACTGAGTAGATATCATCGGCCAACTCAAAATAGAAATCAATATATACCGAGTAATATCATAAAATCAACTATGATACTCAATATGTAGCAACAACAACTACTATAATCATCAATAAGTACCATCAAGTTCATCCATGAGGGCTCAAGCCTCAACACCATACTCATTTGGGAATTAAGTTTTATTAGATTCAGTATATTGTCATCTTTCAAGATTCATTATCTTTCTTCCTCTTGTGTTGGTACGTGACACTTCGATCCCCTACTCCTATGTGTCGGTACGTGACACTCCGATCCCGTAATTCTATGTGTTGGAACGTGACACTCCGATCCCCTACATGTGTCGGTACGTGACACTCCGATCCCCTACATGTGTCGGAACGTGACACTCCGATCCCCTACATGTGTCGGTACGTGACACTCCGATCCCCTACATGTAACGGTACGTGACACTCCGATCCCCTACATGTGTCGGAACGTGGCACTCCGATCCCATACATGTGTCGGTACGTGATACTCCGATCCCCTACATGTGTCGGAACGTGACACTCTGATCCCCTACATGTGTCGGTACGTGACACTCCGATCCCCTACATGTGTCGGAACGTGACACTCTGATCCCCTACATGTGTCGGTACATGACACTCCAATCCACTAATACTATGTGTCGTGACGTGACACTCCGATCCACTAATACTATGTGTCGGAACGTGACACTCCGATCCACTAATATCATTCTGTAAATCATCAAGCCTTCTCTATTCCAAGGCATCATCAATCCCATTACTTTAATTAATCAAGCCTTCCTCTATACCAAGGCATCATCAATCCCATTACTTTAATTCATCAAGCCTTTTTCTTTACCAAGGCATCATCATTAATAATGTATATTAAAGTTTCTTTTCAAGAATTGGGATTCAATATCTTCATCATGCTTATCTTATCACAATTACATAATCATATTCATAGAAACATACAATTAAACATATAGTAGGGTTTACAATACTACCAATACATATCATTCTCTATTAAGAGTTTACTATGAAAGCATGAAATAACCATAACCTACCTCCACCAAAGAATTGAAATCAAGCAAGTTAATCCTCAAAGATTGGTGTTTTTCCTCTTCTTCTCGATCGTTTCTCTCTCTACCTTCTTTTTCTTTTTATTTTCTTATTCAAACCCTCGTTCTTTTACTCTAATTAGTATATAATTAATAATAAAAGATGACAATAATACCCCACTAATTAACTTAGGGTTACCTCTTTTAACCCCCAAGAATTTGAGTTATTAATATAAACCCACGAACTTTAAAATTAAGGCAAGAATAGTAAAAAACGTCTGTTAAAACTTAACCAGAAATCCGACTCCAACTGGGATTATGCAAACAGTGACGGGCCGTTGCGCGTGCGACGGTCCGTCCTGCTGTCCATCGCATAGTTCAGAGACTCAATTTCTCTGAAGAGTCTGTGACGGTCCGTCACACCTGTGACGGTCCGTCCTGCCATTCCGTCACAAAGTTCAAAGATTTGATTTTCAGTACCCCATTTCAGATTTTCTAAGTGTTTTGAAACGAGACCCTGCGACGGTCCGTCGTGCCCATGACGGTCCGTCGTGGAGTCCGTCGCCTCAGCCTGTTTTTCCAGAAATAAAATCTGCTGCTCAAAATGACTAAACAGGTCGTTACATTAGATACCAATTTACCCATTGTTCGTCCCCGAACGATCACAAGAAGGAAAACAAGGGCGAAAAGGAGTACCTGAATCTGTAAACAGATATGGGTATTTTTCTCGCATATCCACCTCCTTCTCCCAAGTGGCTTCTTCAACCGGTCGATTCTTCCATTGCACCTTGATGGATGCAATCTCTCTTGACCTCAACTTGCGAACTTCTCTATCTAAAATAGCAACAGGCTCCTCCTCATAAGACAAGTTCTCATCAAACAAAACTGAATCCCAACGGATAATGTAGTTTCCATCCCCATGGTATCTTTTCAATATAGACACATGGAATACCGGATGTACTCCGGACAGCCCTGGAGGCAAGGCTAACTCATAAGCCACCTCTCCTACTCGCTGAAGTACTTCAAATGGACCAATATACCTTGGGCTAAGTTTACGTCGCTTACCAAATCGCATCACCCCTTTCATTGGCGAAACTTTCAACAAGACTTGTTCACCTTCCATGAACTCTAAGTCTCTAACCTTTCGATCTGCATATTCTTTTTGTCTACTTTGCGCCACTAGAAGCTTTTCTTGAATAGACATCACTTTCTCTATCGAATCCCTCAAAAGGTCAGTACCCCAAGGTCTAACCTCGAATTCATCAAGCCAACCAATGGGAGACCTACATCTCCTCCCATACAATGCTTCAAATGGGGCCATATCAATACTTGAGTGATATCTATTATTGTATGAAAACTCCGCTAAGGGTAGGAAGCTATCCCAGTGGCCACCAAACTCTATCACACATGCACGAAGCATATCCTCCAACACTTGAATCATCCTTTCAGACTGACCATCGGTCTGAGGATGGAACGTAGTACTAAGGTCCAGCCTAGTACCCAATTCCGCATGCAATGTTTTCCAAAACTTAAAAGTAAACTGTGTACCTCTATCTGATATGATGGATAGTGGAACCCCATGTAATCAAACGATTTCTGAGATATAGATCTTGGCTAACTTCTCTGCATTGTAAGTCACCTTTACCGGAATAAAATGAGCACATTTAGTTAACCTATCAACAATCACCCAAATGGAGTCATACTTAACCATTGTCCTTGGAAGACCAACCTCAAAGTCCATTACAATTCTCTCCCACTTCCATTCCGGAATGGGCATTCTCTGAAGTGTTCCTCCGGGCCTTTGGTGTTCATACTTTACTTGTTGACAGTTTGGACACTTGGAAATAACTTCAACAATATCACGCTTCATTCTACTCCACC